TTTATGCAAGACCTTTCTCAAAATTCATTTTGAATTTTATTACATACATGTATTGTAATAACAAAGGCATAAATAACTAAGAGTGTAGATTTATAATACACACTTCTTCAGAAAACATTTTATCTAGTATAATAATTTTATAAATAACAAACATGTATAAATATAGGATATTGAATGAGTGAAGATTTTATTGAACAAATCAAATAAAATCATATTATGTGAACCACTAGTGTAATATAGTTTTTATTAAATGGCTTTAACACTCTTGCATCTTAATTAATGTCAAAAACATACATGTATTTATCATTTATGTATTTTGTAAATATGTCAAATACACGCATGAAAATTATCATTTTATTGTTTTTTTTTTAAAGTAATACAGCATCATTTAGAAGAAATTTAAGTGTATAATTCTATATCTCTGCTAGCTGAAGTTTACAAAATTGTTTAAGTTTTTGAAAAAAGTACAATTAAAAATTAGCTGTATGAAAGAAATATGTCTGTATATTTTCTTTACAGGTACTGGCACATGCACAAAATTATTGCTAAACAATTAAAACTAGTACTGTAATTTACTTAAAACGGTAGCATAATACTTTGTTCGAAAAATTTTTCATTTTGTTTACTTGCAATTTTTGTGTTTGACATTCTATTCTCTTGAGAATGGACTAGAAAATTACGGAAAGAACATAATTTTACACTTAATAAAAATAAATCATTAATAATCTTTTAGTTTAACAAAATCAACAATTTCATGTTAGGTAAAATCCTGTCATTTGAATGCTTTATAAAGTTGAGGTCTTATTGTATATTAATGAAAACAGAAGTCTATAAAACATAATGTACCAACTTGCTAAATTTAAAAGGTGAAAACAGGTAAACAGTATTGCCTTACTATCATGTTGTTGGTTTAGACATGAAAGTTACAGAGTGGCTGTCCTATCTAAAATCACATAACTATTGAACCAATCCAGCCTGCACATCTAGCTTTAAGTTACCAGACAAGGCCAAATACTGTTGACTGCTTAAATTTAGCATTTTGATAATAAAATCCATTTTACAACAAATCGTCTTTTTTAAAGTCCATTTCACAAATCTAGCAATGTAAACATTAATTTCATACCAATTTATACCACTTAACAAATGAAAACTTTTCAACAATTATGAACCTTCAGGCGCTATTTCAACTTTATACACTTCACCATTAATCTCAACAAAGTCTCCTGTAGCCAACTGACTTAATTGTTCCGTAGACACTTCAAATCCTTCATTACCTTCAGCTGATACTTCCTCTAAAGTGCCTTCATCCCTGATAATAGTTTCACTGGAATCAAAAACTTCTGCCCTCATTTCATTTCATGTGTTGAAACTATCTCTATAGTAAACCGAGGATACAATTTCGATGTCATATCATTATCCCATTCTGGTATTTCAAGTATTCCGGCCTGCTCAGCAAGAGCCTGTAATCCTTCAAAAGCTTCAGCAGCTTCATGTTCCTGCACTGAGGCGTGAAGAAATGTGCTAAATTGACCCTGAGGAGATACCATGCTGTGTTTCATTAGCGATGAATCCGAGACCAACATACGATTCCATTTCATCTGCCATTATGTTGTCAATTGTAATTTCTGCATGAAATGGTGCAGTGTCTTCCCCAGAGCCCGTCATGAATTCCATCTGAGCTGCGTCTCATCCATTGTCTGAGTTAGTGACAATATCTGACAAGCCATGACACTAGTGCAAAGCCGCTGCAGTTGCCCACATTGAAACGGTCTCTCTTTTGTATGTATCTCCTGAAGGATTGTTATAATTCTTTTTCTAGTAAAGATCTCGCGTGGTTTACGTTCTACTTCAACACCGTGCTGTGACTCATATGAACGCAAAACATGGCTCTTTCTGTGTTGCACGATACGTGCAAAGCCCACATTGAAACGGTCTCTCTTTTATGTGATTAACATATATGCCGTCGTAATCGGCTTACACAGTCTGTTACAAAACTACAATGCTCGCAAAACAGTTTTAATTCTGGTCCATTCTTATGGAACTTTTTGTGTTGTTTCAAATCTTTCTTACTGACAGTCATAAGTCCACAAACATCACAGGTGAATGCATTTAAGGCCCCTTCCTGTGGCATATGTCTCCTCTTTATATGATTTTTAAGGTCTGGGTCTTCGCTTGAACATACATAGTCACATAGAGGACACTGTACATTCTTCTCCTGTGAAAAAAAGAAACAAAATTAAAAAATTGCATGCATTAACACAGTATTCCTCCAAATTTGTGCTATTTTTCATGAAAAATTTGAAAATGTATGTAAAAGTTTAATGTTGTGAAGTGAACAAAGAAAGAAATTTACACATTGCAAATGACACTCCACATAAATAATCAGGAAAATATCAAAATATGTAAAAATAGCCCTTACTGCATAGGTCATACAGTTGAAATATGGTGATAAATACTGCAAAGTCATTAATTGCACACAACATGTAAATGATTACTTGAATCATTTTACTTCACTTTAAATTTTAGTACACTTCTCTAAAGTTATATATCTTGAAATATTTCCGTTCATTTGTAGGCATGCAGCTTTAAGAGAGATAAAATATACAATTACACATGAAGACATGGTCACTCATGGTCATTTGAAAACATCATTGACTTTGCTTCATCTTTTAGTAAATTATAAAAAAAATATTTTGAATACAAATGCAGTAGATTATGTTTAAAGGCATATTAGACCTTTCAACAAAATGAATTTTTGATGCTTAATGCCAGCATTTATTGTCTATCTACCATTTGGTTACACGAACAGACACATTGTAAAATCAAAATCTCTGTGTAGGTACCTCGTGTTTATATTTCAAATGCCTCTCCAGATGAATTTTCTGACGGAACAACATATTACAGTAGACACAGAGAAAGTTACGAACATCGTCATGAATCTGCATGTGTCTCTTTAAATTACTACTTGTAGCTGCCCTGTACGAACATTTATGACAGGCATGTGGGCGGATACCTGAAACAAAAAACAATTCATAACAAGAGGGCCATGATGGCCCTGAGGTCGCTCACCTGTAAATAGGCTCCCCCCACCCCCGGGCCAATTTTTACCCAAGGGCTTTTATTTGTTTATTTGAACAGACTTGGTAGACACCCATAAGAAGATGTTTCATGCTAAACATCTAAATCTAGCTCATTGGGTTTTTTAAAAGAAGATTTTTAAAGCTTTTACTATACACATATAGTTAAAAACAATGACATCCCTGGGGCAGGGCCAGTTTTGACCCCCGGGCTTTTATTTGAACAAACTTTGTAGATATTTACTTAAAGATGTTTCATGCTTAATATCTAAACTCTAGCTATTTGGTTTTTTTCAAAGAAGATTTTTAAGTTTTTGCTATACACATATAAGGAAAATCAATGACCCCCCCACCCGGGCGGGGCCAGTTTTGACCCCAGGGCTTTTATTTGAACATACTTGGTAGACACCCATTAGAACATGTTTCATGCTAAATATCTTAACTCTAGCTCTTTGAGTTCTTTAAAAGAAGATTTTTGAAGTTTTTACTATATGCATATAGGGAAAATCAATGACCCCCTGGGGCGGGGCCAATTTTGACCCCAGGGCTTTTATTTGAACAAACTTGGTAGACACTTATTATTAGATGTTTCATGCTAAATATCTTAGCTCTAGCTCTTTGGGTTCTTTAAAAGAAGATTTTTTAAGTTTTTACTATATGCATATAGGGAAAATCTATGACCCCCTGGGGCGGGTTCAATTTTGACCCTAGGACTTTTATTTGAACAAACTTGGTAGACACTCACTAGAAGATGTTTCATGCCAAATATCTAAGCTCTAGCTCTTATGGTTCTTTAAAAGAAGATTTTTTAAGTTTTTACTATATGCATATAGGGAAAATCAATGACCCCCCGGGGCGGGGCCAATTTTGACCACAGGGCTTTAATTTGAACAAACTTGGTAGACATTCACTAGAAGATGTTTCATGCTTAATATCTAAGCTCTAGCTCTCACGGTTCTTTAAAAGAAGATTTTTTAAGTTTTTACTATATGTATATAAGGAAAATCAATGACCCCCGGGGCGGGGCCAATTTTGACCCCAGGGCTTTTATTTGAACAAACTTGGTAGACACTCACTAGAAGATGTTTCATGCCAAATATCTTAGCTCTAGCTCTTTGGGTTCTTTTAAAGAAGATTTTTTAAGTTTTTACTATATGCATATAGGGAAAATGAATGACCCCCTGGGGGGGGGGGCAATTTTGACCCCAGGGCTTTTATTTGAACAAACTTGGTAGACACTCACTAGAAGATGTTTCATGCCAAATATCTAAGCTCTAGCTCTTAGGGTTGTTTAAAAGAAGATATTAAAAGATTTTTCTTTCGGTTGCCATGGCAACCAGAGTTCTGCATGGAATTAAATTCTTTGAACAATTTTTAAAGGTGACCACCAAAGGAACATTCCTGTGAAGTTTGGATGAAATTGGCTCAGTGGTTAATGAGGAGATGTCATTTAAAGCAAAAGTTTACGGACGGACGACGGCCGGACGCCGGACGAAAAGCGATCACAAAAGCTCACCCTGTCACTTTGTGACAGGTGAGCTAAAAAGCCATGAAGTAACAAATAAAATGTCAGTTAACTCATGCATCTTTCCAATTGTATGTAAACATTTTGTTTCCACATTGTTACAGCATATCAACGTTTTTTTTGTTTTTTTTTTGTTTCCTGTGCCAGTTTTGTTGTATCAACATGTCAGAAACTTAAGTTATGGATAGATCCCAATATGACTCTTACCTGTCTTATTAAAATTATCAGATTATTTGCATTTTACAACAACAGTTTTTTTAACAAAAGAACACATGTCAATGTTTGAGGTAAAAATTTATTTTTTATACAAATAAAAAGTCTGAGTAGGGATCAATCAATTGAATGAGATTTTGTTAATTATTACCAGTACTAGCCTTTATTAAACCTCTCCTACTTGCTATTTTATTGAACCATAAATTCAGATTTTTTTACATCATTGTTTCATTTCTAGCAAGTTTCATAAAAGTCATTGCAGTGTCACATTTAGAAAAAGATGTCATTTAAAGATTATTTCTATTTTTTTACCATGTTGCTCAACTGACTGAAACAATTTAAGCTATTTCTTTTATAAAGAACCACCATCTGACCAGTAACTCATTGGGAGATGCCTGACAAAGCTTAAATTTTTCATTGTAATTAAAGCACTATTATTTGGAGGCGCATAAAAAGTAATAAATCCTACAAGCATATTTCTTTATAATGGTTTCCCTAATAAATGAAACATTACTTACCCAGATGTTTTCTCCTGTGTTTAAACCAGTTTCCTCTATTTTCTGTCTTATGTCCACAGTCGACACAGAAATACATTCCATCAGTATCCATAGTTACTTCCTCCTATGACATAACACATACAAAACAACTTTAGGGTTTCATTATCAGAATTACTGTAATATAAATGATATCATGTATGAATGTTGTCAAATCATTTTAAAGTAAGATTTTTTTTGGGTGATTAGGTGACTTTCCAGGCAGATCATGTGCCTATTCTTGTATTATTTTAGGCACAAGCAATCTCTTGAGTAAACCCGTTTGTTTCTCTGGTTTTTAAGCACAAACTTTTGGTCATATCTCAGCAGCCAACCCATATAACCAGCATTCCTGGATAGCTAACTACATTTGTACAGGTAGTAATTACCTAATTCTCCATAAGTGACGAACTACTAATCACATAATGATTTCTGAATCAGTGGTGAAAGGCAAATGACCATTTAGACTCCATGTCCGAGATCAAATGTCACAAAGAAATTACGCAATGTCTAAGGATTGAACCAGGTACCACTGGTTTACTAATCTGATATCTCCCTATTCAACTAAGCTGGCTCTTGAGTAAAACATTGTACTTTAGTTTGCTAGCCAAGTACAATTAATTATAAAATCACAACTGAGGAAATATACTGGAGACTAAAATACTGCTTTTCACAGTTTTATTAAGTGTTTGGGTTGTCTCTCTAGCACTCTGTGGCTATAATTTTATATATAAAAGAAATCCATAAAAATGTCCATTCATTTGAATCACCAGTCACTTAAATACTAGGATGCCTACCCCTTCTGCATCCCAAATTTAAAATAATTTAATTAAATAATAAAGATATTGATCTATGACAGCTGAATAAGTTAATTTCATTAAACCAGTCCCAGTATATAAGACTTACCCCTAGTGGTGTTTTCTCCTTTTTAGGTCTAGGTTGAAGCTGCTTCACCTCAGAACCTTCTGGCAAACGTACCACTATATATTCCTGATAAGGTGCATCCTATAAACATAATGTTTAATAACAAGGTGCATCCTATAAACATAATGTTTAATAATAACATTTGTTCAATTCTTATATCTGTGAAAATAATCAGTCAGGCTTATCAGCCTTAGTGATAATATTCCTACGCATTTGAACTCAATTCGTGCATTATTCTACAACAATGCACTCAAATATAATTTCCTATTTAGTTGAAAAAGCATGAATAAGCACCCGGCTAACTTGGCTCAAAACAAGCCCATCAAATCTTTAAATTGAAATTTGGTGAGCATTTTATGGCAATTACCAAAATTTTAAAAACACCTTTTATCTTTGTATATAAAAAAATTACCTTCTTTCTACCAATTTCTTCCAATGTTATCCCTTCCTGCAATCATAATGTTTATTGATTATTTGTTGGCTTGTATTATACATGTAATTATAACAAGTTATTAACTGGTATAATTTTTATCAAGAAAACATTGAACAAAAGATTCATAAAACAATGAAACAGTAGTCAACATAAAATCACTAAACTTGTATACATTTTACTTCATTTTAAACATTAGTTTGCAGATTTTATAAATAATGATGCCATACATGTATGTATCTTCCCTTACAATCATCTAATTTTTTAAACTTTAACCTATTATGTAAAACATTTATTCTAGCTTAATTTTGATGAAAGCTTAAAGCTATTTGAAAAACTATTCTGTCCAGTTCCTGTGGTAAACCAGTACAGGTGTCATAAGAGGAAATACATGTTATACTGGCGACCCATCTTGGGCTGGCACAAACAGCTTTTATGCTTGTCCTTTACCAGACAGGCAACCCCTTTATGGTCTGATTACTATGTTAATTTACTCCCAAAGATTATGAATGCCAAAATACATGTATTCAATTGTTTCATTACCATTGTTTCTTTCTTCAATATATAAATAAAAATTTACCTCTTCCTCTTCATCATCATCCATATCTGCTTCATTATCTTCAGTGTTTGTACCGGTCGTCTTGGAAACAACTGTAACAGAGCTTTCACTTTTCTCACTACCCTGTATCTCAGATTTCTCATAGGCACGGACTGGTGTAACTTTCACTTCCGGAAGTTTCATTACGCTTGGGTTGATTCTGACATTGTACGGATACTTCTTAGACGGTTGGGGCAGTGATTTTCCTACAACAGAAGCCCGAATTACAGACGGGGCTTTACTTCCAATACTTTTAACTAAATGGTCATTAATACTTGTCCTGGACGTTTTCATTTTCTCTAAAGTTTTAGAAACAGCTGCTTCCTTAATCTGCATTATAACAATTTCCCCTCCTGACGCCAGCTTCTCTACAGTCACAGTGGCATTTTCTGGTATCTGGGAGTTGTCTAGACCATCTATATGTAGAATACCATCTTCATGAACCTCTGATGTACTCATAATCACGTTACTGTCAGAAGAGACAACTGGTGCTCCCTCTGACCATACAGTGACCTCCCCTGAGTGTCTTTCTGTTAAAATACAAAAACACGAAATAAATAACCTTTTTAACAAATTAATCATAGAAGTTGAAGAATCCAACTTTCATATCCATGAATCAAAACACACTAGCAGCATGAAACCATGTATTAACAACATACTTAACTTTATTTCTTATGTCTGTATTGATTTTAAATGATGAACTTAATAACTTTTTTATTTTTTGTGGAGCAAACATATTTACTGTGAACATCGCATTTTTATTGATTGGGTCAAAGATGCTCAACATAAAGCTTGACCTCACATTACATAATATTTGGAAAACATGTACATCATTTATAGTGATGCATTGATAATACAGAGTTTGAGTATACACAGGCCTTTCTTCCTCTATTTTGGGAAAATGCCACATGGCAAATTTGGGAAATTTGTGTCATAAAATTTTCCAATTTGGGAAAAAAAGTGAAATTTGTCAATTTGGGAAAATATGCTCTAAGCATTCAAAGCGTTACAATTGTTAAAATAAATCTAAATAAATCTTACTGAAACTGTTCAGCTTTTTCTGTCATATCAAAAGTACAAGCCAGGCTAAAATGTGTACAAATGTAAAACTGTTATCACTTAAAAATCCTGTTTTAATTCACAAAACATGAAATATTCAGTAAATTTGAGGATCAGGCCTTCCGTAACACTATTTTGCGACACCAAAATTGAAAATGCTGTACTTTTTCTTTCAAATTGCCGACTTCTAGATTGGGAATTTTTTTTTTTGGATTGGGAAAAAAAACAACATATGTAATTTGGATGGGGAATGCGATATTTGGACCCGTGGTATAGGGGAAAAAAGGCCTGATACATTATTTAGCCTTGATAATAAAGAATTTTGAAGCTTATTTGAAACTCTTGAGTCCACTACCTTAAATTAATTCTGACCTTTTCATTTTCAGAATTTAACATTTGAAATCTTTATTCTATATGATTACCGTAAACATTTAACATTTTTGGGATTATTGAAATATCAGCATATAATTAACCTTTTCCCTTATGTAAGCGTGTTTCGACGGCTTTTTGTCCCCACCCCTTTTGAGGGCTCAAACACTGAAAGAATGCCATATCAAGGCCCCTAACACTGTTTTTCGTTAAAAAAAGTGACCACTTTTTCGGCGCTGTCCCCAATCCAAATATTACATCAGGGGGTTGCCAGAAGGGGGATGTGCCCCCTTCTGTTTGGGGGGTTTGAAGGGGGGCGGAGTCCCCCTCATCTCCAAGAAAATTTTGGACATGTGACAGGCTAAAAATGGCCTCAGGTCTATCTTAGGATAACTAGTAACCGACGCTGAAAAGCCTTTTACTCTATCTCAATTCATTGAGAAGTTGCAGCACTTTGAAATCAGTTTTGATGGAAAAAAACATTGCAAAATAGTGATTTTTGGCAATTTTGAGACGTCCCCCCATTGCCATGGTAACAGGAAATTTACCATTGAGCATGCTGTTACAGAGGCTATGGTGTAGTCAACATTTGTGCCAAGTTTTATTAGTATTGAAGCATTTTTCACAGTTTCATAGCAGTTTGAACTTGTTACAGGAGGCTTTTCAATGAAAACGGCCATTTTTCGCAATATGCTCATGGGGTAAAAGGTTAAAGGCTCATTATGTCCCAGTATGTTTTTTTCCCCAAAAAACTTTTTAAGTCTTTTGTCCCATTACAGTTTAATGGCCAACTACCTGAAGCATCTTTTGCTTCTAGTGCTTTTTGGAAATTTGTACGATTATCAAAACTCATGTTTACTCTTTCTAAAGAATGAAAATTTTATTCATTTCTGAGTCTTAATGTGCCTTTAACTTGAGAATTTCTTGACTAAAATTATAATGTTATTTAAAATGTTTTTGTTCCATGAAACTTTTTAAGGAAACTAAACAGTCTTAATTATTCATTTCTTTTTTTTTAACAATTTGATTTGTATCATTTTCACTTTTAAAGAAAACTTTGCTTAACTGCAGTATGTCTAGTTCTAAATAGCTACATAAGAAAATGCTGCATAATGTTAGGATACCTTCTGACCCTGAGTAAACTATTGTTCCGCCATTGTCAGAACCCTCTGCCACAGTCTGTCCATTTTCCTCCATAGACTGGTCAACATTTACTTGCACAGACTGGGCACCTGCTACTTCTTTTACAGACTGGTTTACAGCTGATATTTCAGGTAGAGATACAGACTGAGTTGACTGGTTCCCAGATGTTAACTCTGGAAATGATACAGTCTGCATAGGTATTATTTCAATTTGACTAGCAGATGATGGCTGTACTAATTCACCTGCAAGAAAAAGTATTTCATTAACAATAAATTTACATACAGCTTTTACATCAGGCTAGGTTTTAATTGAGTCAATGTTATAAATTTCCTAAACACATACCAACGCATTAACAAATGTAATATACAACAAAAGTTACATTTTCAAAAACAAAATTATGTGTATCAACTTTTCACTATACAATTTTTTACTAATAGAAACAATTCTTTACCTGAACTGTTAAATGATGAACAAGCATTAAAACATTAGATAAAGTATCCTAAATTATTTAATTAATATCAAAGTAGTTACAGCACAACTTCCAAACTTTAAAAAAATTAACAACAAATGTCAAGATAATACCTTATCACATACCTGTGCCGATTTTGTGACTCCATACAAACAATATTGCATGGCTGTGCATATACACTGACGAAATATCATTTTCGTTATAGAAACATTGTAAAAATGCGCTTAATGTTAGCTTTTCACTATTGGCACATCAATGAAAAATGATTGTATTGCACTTTAAACAGTCTTTATTTTAGGTGTGATAAATAGAATATTATATTCGTGTAAGTTCACAACTGAATTTTTTGTACTCTTTGAATAAAATAATATTTTGCTTGCCAGAAGCTCACAAACAAGAGCTGTCCGTAAGACAGCGCGCTCGACTTTTTTATTGCTTGCCAATAAAAAAAGTTTTTGCAGTAAAAGGCAATACAAGAATCTCTGTATTTTTAAAGTGAACAATGGCCATGAGCATTAAGATATTTAGTGAAGAATTATTTTATTATGACATAATTTATGGTAAAGTGAACAAGTGGATAGGAATGAATTTTTTTAGATTTTTTAAGTTTTTTAGTGCTTGCCTATAATACAAAACATTGACAGTTAAGGGCCATAATTCAAATAAAATCTTTGACAGAATTACCTTCTCCTGGACATGTTTGGGAATCATGATTGTAAACAAGTATTCCAACTTTCAAATTAATATCTCAAACAGTTCAGTCAAAAAAGTGGACTGGTACTAAAAACTTAACCAAGATTCTAAGTCGATAAAAGGCCTTAATTTTTAAAACAAATCCTTGACAGAGTTACCTTCTCTTGCGTACAGATGGGGGTAATGATGTGAAATAGCATTAAAAGTTTCAAAGCAATATCTCAAAGGGTTAAGGCAATAAGTGGATTTTACCCATATTCAATGTATTTTCTAAGTCAAAAAGGGGCATAATTCTGTCAAAAACCTTGACAGAGTTATGTCCTCTGGTCTGTTGATGAAGGTCGTGATGGTAAACAAGTATGGTCAGTTTCAAAGCAATACCTCCAATGGTTTTGAAATAAAGTGAGGTGGTACAAAAAACTTAACCAAGCTCAATACACTTTCTAAGTCAAAAAAGGGCCATAATTCTGTCAAAAACCTTGACAGAGTTATGTACTCTTGTCTGTAGATGGAGGTTATGATGGTGAACAAGTATGGTAAGCTTCAAAGCCATACTTGTAATACTTCTGAAATAAAGTGGGGTGGTACGAAAAACTTAACCAAGGTGTGACGCCAACGCCGACGCCGACGCCGGGGCGAGTAGGATAGCTCCCCTTTTCATAGAAAAGTCGAGCTAAAAATAACTTTATTCAACTTATCAATAAATTCAGTATTGAAACTACACGCATTAAATTTCCACTATATATCAATACAATAAAATGTAACTCTTGTCAAGTAGATGAAAGCTGACAGACAAAACTGACAGTAAGAAAAATCTGTATCTGACTTATTTGGTCCATCAATGCTTAAAAACGAACTTACAATCATTGAACCATATCTAACATTAAATTAATCCAAGACAGTGTTACTAATCACTCAAGTACTGAAAATTATCAATCTTGTAAAAAAACTGTTCATATTTACCAGTGACAGTATCCAATGTAACCTCTTCCCCATAAATCTCTTTATTGAATGCTTCTGTACTGATCTCTACAATTTGAGTTGGGCTATCAGTTTTTACCGGATAGTCTATGTACCCATGTAAAACTGTAAAAAAATGAAGAAAAAAAACTATAATGTATCCATGTTTCAAATAGTGCCTGAAGCAAAAATTAAGTATTTTTCAAGGGCTTGTTTCAAGCCTGTAAATCAAATTTAAGGTCATACATAAACATCAAAATTTTAAAATTGTGTAGCCAAAAGTAATAAGTCAAGACACACAGTCGCAGCTTTCCAAATCAGTTCAAATGGTCCCATTATCATTGTTGCACTATAGATATTATACAGTGGGACAAAAAAAAACTTTTTTTTTCTGGAATGTTCACATAATTATAAATATGCTATTGTTATAGGACTGAAAAAAATAGATAACTTGACAGGGAATCAAATACCAGACTCATAGAATACTGTTCTGTTGCTCAACCATGCTGACTGCATACTCATTTTTTAACAAATATGTGAACAGTTCAATAACTAAGATAATTATTCAAAAATGTATTCTATTTATGAGTAAAGTAATTGCTTAAAATATGGTCTCAAGCAAATAGCACAAAGAGTGTGCAGCATTTATTCCACATCATAAGTCTTGCAATCCACTACAGGCATACCATATTTTTAAGCCACTATATTGTACCACCCTCTCAGGTACACATTTACATCATAGAAGAAAAGGTATGTATATTATAATCAATTCTTTTGCTCAAGGAAATTAGCTGTCACCCACTTTAGCTTATAGGAATTTATTTTTAGTTTGTGTTGGCAGCTTATTGTATGTTATCTGAAACACTCTGGAATCCCTTCCTGGAACCAACCAGTACTAAGCAAGGAGTGTAAAGTTTCTTACTAATAGAAACAATGGCTTGCCCCTAGTGTGATTTAAACCCAACCAGCCAGCGGTCCTAAGTCTAGTCTGACCCATTAACCACTTAGCTACGCCACCATCCACTTTAACTATACAATGTTTTAATGGACATATAAAGATAACATACCTCTAGGTTGCTGCATCACAGATGACGTCTCATTTAGCTCTTCGTCTGAAGACCCCTGTAATTGAAACATACAGGTAGTCTTATAATTTGGTCTGTTTAATGATGAAATTAATCAAATTTAATGATATCATGCATGTTTGTTCAGTAATGTAATATTAAATACCAGTAAATTTTTTTTAGATTTCTGTTATTACTTAAGTGTTTTGTATTTTAACGCTGTTGTCCATGACATAGGGACAACCCTCGTACATTTATCATTCATATCAATGTAAACAGCAAACCACACATAGTCTTCTCAGACAATGATTTAATAGGTTGACCCTTTCTGACGCTATTCATTGCCAACACTGATATGACAAACTTCATATTGACACCAGCATCGTCTCCTTAGCCTTCATCAGCCCTAAAGCTGGTAGAGGGTAATAGATATTAACTTAGCTACAGTAATATGAAAATTTTAGGGTTCACTATTAGCCGTTTTAGCAATTTGCTAATATTTATCTATTTTCACTACAAAAATCACGATTTGAGTTCTAGAAATGTTATGCTATTTCAATAACATTTTGTATGAAATTGGAAATAAATTAAATAAATAAATTTGGCAAAAAACAAAATTTTCAACCAGGGTTAGCCCTGAATTAGTTAAGGTTCGTACAGACATACAAAAACAAAATACAAGGTATTTTTAAACACTTTTTTATCATGTTTTCCTAATTTTCAAGCACAATTTGTTGCATGTTCATCGACACTATCCTCAACCAAAGGATAGTTTTTTAGCTATTTCTTTGTTGAATACACATTTTCAATAAACAATTTTACAATTTCTATTGAAGAACAAAGGAATTACATGTAGTTCATTATAATCAATAGCAATTCTTCACCTTACTGTTACATTGGGCCAACATTTCAGTGATTTTGGTACTAATTTGAATCAGTTTTTTGTTTTGTTTTTGTTTTTTTGTGTTAAATATCGGTTTTTACTAACACTGTTTTTCAAGCATTTTCAAGCACATTTTCAGCAAATTTAAGCACTTTTTAAGTGTTTTTCAAGCATTTTTAAGCACTGTTTAGAAAGGAACTCAAATCTAAGCACTTTTTAAGACTGTACAAACCCTTATAATGTCATAGTTAATAATTATCAAAAGACATAAAGACTAACCTGTTGCCGTGATGGAATTGTGAATTTGGTATGAGAATTTCT